TGCAGATCAACAACACTTGCGATTTGGTTGCTGGTGGGGACAAGATCTACATGTCCAGCAGGAATCGAAACCAGTTTTTCCAATTGCGTGAGATGCGGCTTGGCTGCTGACAGCACTCAAACGCCAAGAGTTTATATAATAAATAGCTGATATGTAATGATTTGTTATCAACATACTATGCATATTGAATATAAACTATACTATACTATAATTTATTGGATCCTAAAGTGGGGTTGTTTGCATTCTAGATCTGGCCAAGTTCAAGTTAAACATTATCTAGTTTCACCAGCAATTTCCCCAATGAAAGATTTTCCCAACCTAGGTTTAGCTTTGGCTCTGGTGAATGGCGCTCTGGGAAGGAGTCGTGGTGGGAATTTGGGAAACATGTTTTGATTTTCTGCTTTTTTGTTAAAACCCGGGACATCCTGGGACTTCTATGGCTGTCTTCTGGGAAACCTCAGGAGGCGAGCGAGACAACAGAAGATCCTGATGGCCGTTGGTTCTCCTTTGATATCTCTGGGTCGGACTACATCATCCTCGAGAAGAAGTCCCTACCCACCCACCTTCAGGCCTTTGAGAATGCTGACACGGCCGTCACACTGCAAAGCATCATCAGTGACCTGCAGGATCTTGGTGAGGCTTGGGTGTGCTAAATTATGTTCCTTACCAGAATTAGACCTCAACCCAAATAAAGGGATTTGTGGCAATGCTTCCTCCAAATCCATACATCCTGAATCATCCTGACATCCCATAAAGGTGAAGATGGAACTCAGTCACCACGAGCAAGACTCTGATGGGAACTTCAAATCAGCAAAGCCGCTGGTTTTCGTGCTTGATGAACCACCAGAGGATGGAGTCAAGAAGGAGAATAAGAAACCGAAGAAAACCGCGCCAATTACAGCGAAGACGTTCGGTGCCTATGTCTCCATTCCCGGTGTGAAGGATGCAGACAACCTATGCCTGGCCTGGAGATGCAGGCCACTCTTCTTCTTTAAACTTTTTAGGGCGTGCTGGTGTTTGGTGATCCCACAAGTCTCAATTTGTACGGCAGAAGCATTCGCCCTGAGGATTGATAGCTCAGCTTCGAATTCCAAGGGGGGCAAAGTCATAATGCCCATTCGTCCCGTGGTTCTTCTGAAGCACCAGCTCGAAGTGAACAATGAGACGGTTTGCTTGGTTTGAGGCTATATCCACTTCCTGACTGAGAAGCTGTGCCAATGATGCAGTAACTCTGTAGTGGAGGTAAACCTTCCAAGAAGAAAAGGACTCGTTTCAATACACTGAAGGAAACAGCTTCCGGGAGCACATAGCCTCAAAGTGGGGCACTCTTACACTGAGTGCTACTTTTGGTTCTTGCGTTTGTAGGATCAAGCAAGTCGCTTGCCTTCTCGGGTTTGCTAAGGAACGATCCCTCGTCTGGATGTTGTTATTTACATGCTCCATGTTTACCTCGTCTGGATGTTGTCAACCAAAAAGAGTTTGTTGAAGATGGAAAGCTGAGGGGTTGGTTCCTGATGATCACAAGTTTGCCGAACAGGCCAATCAACCTGGGCAAAAAATAGATGGAGATCAACTTGTTGTTGTTTTGCAATCACTCTCCTTCCCTTTCCTTTGCCAACTGGAGGGATCTTTGTGTTTCATTGATGGAAATTCAGATTGGGACAATCTGACTGAGATCGAATTATTCTATATTTTCATCTATCAAACAACATTGCCAGGGTCATTTGTCTCATATAGACCGGAGATAGATAGTAGTAGGCCATTAGAACCATGGCGGATGAAGACGACTCCGTGACTGAAGTGCCGCTTACAGCTGCATTCCGGCCACCAGCCCCTTGGTTGACCTTACACCTTCAAATCCAATACATGAATGTTGTTGGCCCCGTCAAACCACCAACAAAAGCTGTCGTTAGCCAAGGCTTTCAACTTACAGCGGCTGATGTCTACAAACGCTTTGCCAAGCCCACCACCGCATGGAACCACCCGCCCAACTCCACCTAATTCAGCAGTATGGGCTCGCGCAGTCACACCTGATGCACCTTCGGGGGCAAGCCGTGTTGATGGACAAGGCAACAAACACTGCTGATTGGAACACCTCGGGGATTCTTTCGGGAATGGTTCCCTGTGTTTTGTCATTCCCTGTCAGGACCAGCCAATGGCCATGCTCTCCCTGGTCGTGTTGGGTCGTCCGAGGACTCATCACCAGATGCTGAAGCAAAAGCTAAACCCAAACCCAAAGGGAGGCCCAAGTCAAAGGGGAAGGCCGCAAAGAACAAACCAGTACCAGATGACACTCATGATCCGATCCATGATGAATCGGATGAGGATGGGGATCACCCTCCTCCCAGTGCGTCAGATGTGGACAATGGACTTGGAGGATCCAAGACCGGCCAGCCCTCCAAAAGGCCTGCTTCAGCCAAAGGATCCAGCAAGAAGCCTGCCCAGAAGCATCGCAAGCATGGTGGGGAGGACCCTAAAATATGCCTTGTTGTTTGTCTACATTTCGCTTTAGGATGATGTTGGTGATTCTGGTTTGATGCTGATGATAGGATGCTGAATATCAAGCTGGTGACGGATGATGATGACAGGTGTGCACGTATACTAAAAATAGATCATAGACTGATGTTAAAATTTAGATGGGATGATGGGATGGATGGTGGGATTATATAAATCAGTAGGTAGGGTAGGGAGGTATGGAGGTACGTGATGGAATTATGTGTCTTCATGTGTCTTCATGTGTCTTCCATCTTCCGATGATTGAAGTACGAGGGGCAAAATGACTCACCACCAAAACATTCCAAAAACAATAACTGGACCTGGTTCTTGCTCTACCTTTTGTTTGTCAAACAATTGCACTCCAGGACGGGCTTCATCCCGAGGATGATGCTGATATGGATGTTCCCAAGCCGTTTGAGTACGCCATTGAGAAGAAAGAAGAATGGGTTGAAGTTCAGTGTTGTCCTTAAATTTGTCCACCAAAAGGTGTTACTATGAATATTCTGCAGCACTCTCATTCCAAGGTCAATGGTACCCACAGCTCTCATGAGCCCTGACAATCAGGAAGGGCTTGAAGAACCTTATGCCGATGCCCTTTGTCTTAGGATATGACACCAACATGGACAAAGTGAGACATCAACCAAATCACCAAATCAATCCAAATCCCCTTTGCACCCAAGGTGCACCTCCCAGATGATTGCAATATGTCCGCCATGGCTGATGGGTACGGACTACCCGAGGAAGCTAGGCACTTTGTAAATTAGTTTCATGATGTCCATGAGCGTTGCAACAAAATCAGTGTGGCTTACATACCTTTACACGCACTCAATTTGTTTTAGAGAAAATGTTAGCTCCAATGTTAGCTCCATCGAGGAACCCTTATCTAATGCAAATCTGATGGGAACACGGTCTACCTCCCAGGTGCCTTGGAGCGGATTACCATTTGGCCTAACCGCGTGGGAAGAGATGTCGCATTCCAGTTCCCACAAAATGGTGAGTGATTGTTAGCTAAGGAGAACGGCGTGGGTTGCCATGATGAGGATTCCCTTGGCCTCACGGTGATTGATAGGGAGCTTTGTGAGGCAACCATGGCAGGTATTAATGCTTGCCTGCACGAGCTGGAGAGGCTTTACTCCAAACCTGACACTGCTTTGGAGGACCTGGGAAAGCTTAGTGACGCTCCTAGTCTTGGTGGTCAATTGACGCCCACAGTCCTGGAATCGACGCCCACAGTCATGGAACCGACACCCACAGTCTATGACTTGGAAAATGAGGACGAAGAGCATTCACCAAAAATTGAGGAAGGAGAGACTGGCCTTTTCTGGACCCCTACTACACCAGAAGGGGCAAAGACTGATGATTCGATTCCCGGGAGCCCCGCACCAACAGAGGGGGCAGATCCAGGGCTAAAGACTGGTGATGAGATTCGTGAGAGCCCTGGGACAGTTCCGGGGGAGGAGCATGCTGATGTTGATGTGATTCCCAAGAGCCCTACACCAAAGGGGGTAGTTGCGGGGCTAGAGAATGGTGGTGTGATTCTTGGGAGCCCTTCACCAAAGGAGGAGGCAGTTGCAGGGCTTAAGACTGGTGATGAGATTCACGAAATTCCTACACCAAAGATCGCACCATTGGGGCTGAAAACTGCACCAAAGAGATCCGCTCAGAAACCAAGATGTGGTTCGAAAGCAAAGGTTGCTAAAGCAAAACAGGTTGCTAAGGCAAAGGCAAAGCAGGGTAAGGCAACAGCAGGAAAGCTCAGTGAAGAAGCTCTAAAGAAGAAATTGCACAGTGAACCTAGGCTGCATTTCTCCAGAAAGAACATGCACGCTTTCCTGCACAATATGTAAACAGGAAAAAGAGCTTCGTTTGTACAGCTTGGCATTCCTTGCTATTAATTTTGCAGCCTCAATGTTCTCCATCAGGTCTACTCTATCGCTTTCCAGTGGGCAAAGCGCAATGGGAAGGATGTACGTGAACACGCATCAAAAGCCAGGAAGGAGCTTCTTGGCATTTCTTGGCAAAGCACCGTTATGAACCCAAACCAACTGTTTCTTGGAGATCAACATCTTTGATGAAACCCAAACATGGACTAAATTGAGGTATATTCTGAAGAATGGCTACAAGGATTATCTTTGTGCGAAGAATTTTCTGGTCTGAGATGATTCTCTTGTTCCGATGCCAATCAGTGCGTCATGACAAACAGCTGCAGGGGGAACGGCTGAAAAACATGCGCGTTTGCTGCCAGTGCGTGCCAGAACCACAAAGTAAGAGTCTCATGTTAAGGACCCACTTCCAAAATGCAAAGGACCCAGATAGGGTTGGACTTTGTTTTGTCTTTATTACCGAAGGAAAATGACTCCTACACCACTCCCTTGAACATCCCCGTCTTTGTATGGTAAGTGCGCTAAGTGGTGACCTCCTTCATGCCATCCAGGCTCATGCAGTTCATCACATTTCATCACCCCACCCCTCGGTATCCAAAGCACTCGTCTCATCCAAGATACGCGCCGCGAGGCCCAGTGGCCAAGCCCTCCAACGTGATCTCTGCCGGATCCTCCGATCTGAGCCACCGAGGAACTGAGAAGAAGGGTGGCTTCGCTGCGTCGGCGGCGAGATCGAGGTGCCGAACAGCGAGCTGCCGAACAGCGGCCGACGAGGCCTATGAGGCCGCGACTAGAATCGACCAGCACCCACTTTCGCTTGAATTGTTCAACCGCTTGATACTTCCCATCATGTTTTTTTGCATCTCCAAGATGGGCCCGAAGGTTGGACGATGACTGCTGACTGCCTGTCATGTCGGTGTCCAATCAACCTTACTCCATCTACATATCCCCCACCTCCGAAGACTTTCTTGCAAATGCTTTGCCCAACAACCACCATCTCACATAACAATCACACAATCCCATATCCCCCACATCCACACCATCCACCGACCTCCCCACCGACCCGCCGCCGTCCTCGGTGGCCACCGTCGGCCGCGCCCAGGGTTCGGCTTTTCGCACCACCTTGGAGATCTGCGCCGCCGAGACCTGGCGCCGGTCCCCGAGCTCGACCCCGCCGGCCCCGGAGGGGGCCGAGAGAGAGAGTGCGGAGGGGCCGTGAGGTGCGAAGCGAGCAATGCTGAACAAAGAGGTCTGTGAGAAAGCCATAAAAACAATGGAGAAACCTGTCCTGGACCAAAGTGAGTTTGAAGTGAGTTTGATCTGCATGCGTGTAGGCGTGAATAACGATTGGTTCGCCAAACACACTCCGCGCATTCGGTTGTGCATGTCTTCTGTTCCAACTCTCTCTCTCTCTCTCATCTATCTATCTAGCCCCACATGGTTGTGAGCAACTTGAAAGTTTCTCTGCAAGTCTTCCTTGGATACCTTTGAGAAGACAAGGAACAACATATAAAGAAATATGGCAAACCAAAAGATATGTAATCTTAAGTGGTGATGACTGGCATCGATTCCACCTTTGAGAAAACCTCATCCGATTCCACCTATACTTCTCCTGTCTCACGTCCCATGCGAGGAGAAGAACCCGGCTGCCGTCGCGTGCCCTCGCCTGAGACGGCGTCTGCTCATCGACCTGCCAAGGTTCTGGCGGCTCCAACTCCGGGGTGGTATTCGTCTTCCGCAAGCCTGGCTCCAGCGGAGCGTGCTTCACAGCGTAAATAGATTGTGAGGTTTTTGATCGATTCCTTCGTATGTTTTAGTCCATCTTTTTTCCTTTATGTTCGCTCTTCAATGGTATATAGAAATTGAAAAGTAAAAATAGAAAGACACCTAGCAAACTCAAGCTGGATTCCAATGGAAACCTTCTAATTGAACTATTTGGTTGTGGGAAAAGAAATGCATGGGATGAAACGAAATGATTGTAAGCTTCGGTTCGTTTTGTCTATGTACATCCCATGCATCAAGAACAGACTATTATTTGACTTTGAAAAAACGTGGGAATATGATCCAGAAGAAGTAAGAAAATGATAGTAAAGTTAATGAATTGATATCTTAAAGTTGGACGATCAGCCATTGGCCACTATGAAAAGTCACTTTCGGCGTGCTTTCGGTGACTTCGCCGGAAGCCTCAACGACCGACGCGACGCGACGCGAGGCTCGACGAGTCGCTTCGCTTTTACCCTTCCAAGCCAGACCAGTTACCGGCTAGCTGCCCCGCTGATCGCAGTGAATCAAGGAAATGAGGCTCGATCTGTATCTTTGAAACATCCGGAATGCAGTCTCCTTGGTGCTACTGTCAGCTAAAACTGGGTGAAACACCTTGATTAAATATACATTATGCGTGAAACGAAACGTAGCTGTCACACTCACTTTGCAGCTCGCTTGCTTCAGAGTCCACGTCGGAGTGTGGTGACTCCATGATCTTCTCAGCCGTTTTGCAAGGCCCGCAAGGCTCCATGTTGCTCCTACGCAAGCGATGCTGGTGAATCCTTTTCTGCCTCCATGTGAAGAACCTGAGTGGGAGCCAAAACATTTGGATGAGCATCCACCACCAGTTTCGAAGGAGGACGATGCAAAGCCATCCTGCCCAGCTCTTGTCCGCGGCGCACTCAAGATCGAAGCTTTGGACTGGAAGATGTCGCAGGGCGCGAAGGCCTTTTGGGCCTACTGGGTTGCCCGTCATCTCCAAGAGTGTTATGGACTTGTTGTGGTTTAAGGCTTTGGCCAAATCGATCGCGCCCAGGGACTCGATTCTGTTCCACTCTAAGTTGAGATGTTTCAAGACACTGTTCACTTGCAAGGCCTTGGCTAAGGCTCTGGCCCCCCGGTTTCTTATGCCGTTGACGCCAAGGGACAGTTCTTGGAGCTTCAAATGAACTGCCAGCACATTAGCCACCGCTTCAGCCCCATCATCGCGTAGATTGCAGGCATCCAAGACCAGCTTTTGGAGCTGACGACGGGATGCCATCAGAATCTCGACTGCGGGCGCCCGCAAGGGAACAGCTGTGATGGCCACCCGCAACAGCTTTCGACGCCTGCACAAAGCCTCCACGAGGTCTAGCTGTTGTGCTTGCGGCACATACGCGGCGTCGAGCTGGAATTCCTGCATCACCTTCAGGAGTGGTATCAGTTCCAAAAGCTCTTCGACTTCGTCAAGTCTCAACCAGTTGCATCTGAACTGTTCCAAGGTCGCCACCTTTTCTTGAAAAACGGCCTTCTGGAGCTGCACAACTGGTTCCATGTCGCTCCGGTGTGTGAACTTGAGTTGTTGTGCCGCAATGCTTCTCTGAAAGGCTTGAGGCGTCCATGGAAGTGACCTACGGAAAAACAAGGCATTATACCAAGCGCAGCAGCGGAACATAAAGAAACCACTCTGCGAAATATTTACTGTATTGGGTTTGGCCCATTCATATTCAGCTCTGCACCACCCACGCCGCAGGTACATAATGTCGTTTGCGTGCAAGTTTGCACAAGTTTCGTCACACGAACTGCCGCACTTGCCCTCTACCATAGGCTTCAAGTTCCGCAAGTGCACCTCTACCACTTTGCCCTCCGCAACACTGTAGACTGGAATTGTCTTCCCCAGCCACATCTGCCTGAACCAAGAATGGAAAAGCACGTAAAAACTAACCAAATTTAGATTTAATTCTTCAACAAAATCCTGCACTTCGAGATGCCCCTACCCGCCCAGGTACACCGGTAGGACAACTGGGTCGGGATTGACTGGCAACACAGTTGCTGTGTGCGTGTATCCCTCGGGTTCGCAGGGTGTTTCATGCAGCGGGCCCAGGCAGTTGCAAGCTGCCCCTGGACCAACGAATACGGACCCACAACTGGTGAAGCGAGAAGGGGCGCCATCTTGTGTACCTGCTGTTTCCATATGCTACTGAGATGGCCAGAGAATGCCAGAGACATGGACATGTTCATGTTACCAAAACAATCGCACGACCGTGTCGCCACTTCTGTCTCAGGCAGTGCACTTAGGAGGTTCGGGACGCCTGCCATGCGCAACAGCTCCACTTACTCTCATCCACCCACAGTGTAGTTTAGATCTCCTTGCCTCCTTCCTGGTTTTACTCAGGCCCCTTTTTTCACCAAGGTTTCTTCCAGGCTTTGGCGCGTAATTCTATCTATCCTGAGTGTATGTGTGTGTGCACCTGGGACTCAAGGTTACCTTCCGGTGCTTGCTGAAATTGCTTACTTTTTGAAAGTTGAGAAGGGCAATGGCAGAGTTTGCGGAATCGCTGCCAACGAAGACGTTCCAATTCTCTGGTGAAGCATCGGGAGACGTCCTGATGTGCACCTGCTTTTGATTAGAACAGGTTCGTTTCTTTGCGCCGGTTTGCATTAAAGTGGATTTCTTCAGGGCGTGGAGCGATCAGATCGTACGCGCGAATTTCTCGAGCGCGTGTGTGCGTGAACCCTTTTGGAGTTACAGGAACCTTTTGGTAGTTTTAATGATATTTTATGAGGCAGGGGCGCACCTGTGCATTTAAGTGCAGTTGGTGGGTCCTACGTTGTTGGCCCCTGCTGTTACTTAGAACCGGCCATCGCTCCCGTTTACATCGGCAGTCGCGCATTGGGCTTTAGGGATTGAACTTCTATTTTGCGCACGTTCGTCGTCACCTGGTCGCATCGCGATCACCGACTTTGAACTTTGAGATTGCTCAAACCCCCTCACGTGACTTTCTCAGGAATATTATGGTTACCTAGGTCGCTTTGTGGCAAATGGCATTCAGTTCCGTACACATTTCCCATGTGTGTGTGTGAAAGCCTTAAAATCATAGGGCTTCCTTTGAAGTTGTTTTCTTTGTAGCAGGGGGGCGCAGGAGGCCCATAGAGCTGTGCCCATGCCATAGAACTCAGGATATGCAGCCACCTGCTCGAGCGCTAAAGTTTATTGTTCCATGGTCCCTGCTTTAGCTAGAATCTAGAACAAGAATTTTGGCCATTGCACCGGTTTGCGTCGGCAGTCAAGCATTGGTGTTTTGAGCGCTCGTCGTCACTCTGTCGCGGTTCCGCTTTTCGAGTTCGTGGGCTTTGGAGGTTTCCTGGAGGTATCAACTTACCTGAACCCTTAGGCGGTCATACCTAGGTGGGCGTGTGGCATCAGGCATTCAGTTCCGTATGCGTTTCCCAAGTGTGTGTGTGTGTGTGTACCCCTTGTAGTCACAGGGATCCTCTTGGATTGTTTCTGATGGTTTTTCTTTTAAAGCAAGGGGGTGCAGAGCACAGTGGAAACTGCACCCAACGAAGCTATCCACTTGTGCTGGAAGCAGAGCCTGATCAGCTCTGTGTATCTGCTTGATTTTCACTTTTGCCGAGAAGTGTCGTAAAGTGCTAGTGAGTTCTGTGGATGTGCACGCACGCCGTCATCTTGTCGATCCGAACTCGTCGATTTGGTGCTTGCGCTTTGGGCCTCACTTGCTCTTGAAGACCCCCAGGCTCTTTAGGACTTTCCTGGACCTTTCAGGATTTGGGCTTCTTAGGCTGGCGTGTGGCATGTGGCATTCAGTTCAGTACACCCAATCATAGGTGTGTGTGTGTGTGTCCCACCCTGTGTCTAAGGGCTTCTAAATTTCCCACTCGACAGCAGGGGGCGACAGGGTCACTGCATAGCTGTCGCCAACGAAGCTCTATGCTGACATACCTGCGGAAAACACACTGACACCACTGGTCCGCCCTTCCGCTGTTTCATGTTTCCATGGTGTTTTTCATGCTACTCCCCAAACCCCTTGTCAGCAGCTTTGCAGCCACTTTGCAACCGACTTTGCGTGACCGACACAGCAGTCTTGCAACAATTTTGTTGAAACACCTTCACTTGACCCAGCGATCTTGCGGTTCATGCATTCATTTCTCCGTGGATTCTCTCACTGAATGAAACCTATCAAAGTGTGCGTTGTCACATACTACATGCTCTGTGCTAATGTTTGGGTGTTATATGTGTTGTAGTTCCTTGTCCCTTGTCGTGTTGTCTGCGTTTTTGCTTGATGTTATCATTGTGTGCTGTCGGTGTTGTGGTTTGTTGCCTGTTGGTGCTACAAAACAACAAAAACAATCCAAAAACAGGTACAATGATGACCCAGGATACCACCGCTTGACACCTGGAGGTGTCAGTCTCTCCAAGCGCCACACACCCATGCAGAATTCTGCACCACTATTCGCCTCAGTGAAAGAACCCAATATCAAAGAGTCTTGGATAGGTTGATTCATCATGCTTGCACTTGATAGAACAAAAACGTGCTGGAGAACTTATGATGCCGGTTTCCTGAGTTAGCATGGCAAAACCGACACAAACTAAACTGACCAGGTCGGGGTGGATGCAAAGTGGTTCCTGTTGCCTGTCAGAGTGGCATAGAAGAGGTGCATGTGTTGCATGGCATGTTCAAAGTCCTCTTGCTCCTTCGTGCTCCGGCGAAATTGTGGTAGTGAAATGTAGTCTATGAAGAGGTAGATGTTCTTTTGGCCATAGGTCGCAGGTTCTGCCTTTTTCCAGTAGCGAAGTGCCTCCACAATGCTTCGGAGCCTTGTTGGAGTTCAAAAAACTAGTTATCAATCAAACCGAGTTGCAGCTCACCCAATTCACCCAGTCAAAAGAAATCTGTGTGCGCAACTTACAATCCAGCCAGCTCAGAACAAATTCACTGAACGCTCAAGTGGCTGGAATCCAAAAGGATCTGGATGCTCGCGAGATTCCCAGCAATGGGAGACACCAATGAAGGAGAATTCGTCTTGCGGCCCTGGCTTGTAAAGGGCTCCTAGCAACAAGTTGGGCTTGCGGGCATGAACATGTCTTTTGCCAAGTACTTATTGAAACATATCACGCAAGCACAAACTTAGATTAACTGTGGCAAAAGCCAGGCTACACAACCCTATAAAGCATGTTGCTCCTCGAATCTTGTCCGCCTCCTGCCTTCGTGGCCAAACGCCGCCAGCTCTGCTCAACTTTTCCAAGAACGTCGATCTAACCAAGCCAATATTCGAATCGATCACGTACTGTCGAAAGTCCTCGGTTCGAGAGCAACACCGCTGATCGCAACTCTGCACAACCCTTACTGTATGTTTCGACCCGGGATCTACATGCGATGGTGGAACGCTGTTAGCTATGAAACTGAAATGAAGCATAGTGCCCATGCGTGGCAAAGCACTCTAAGACTTTGTTGCATATTCTGTCTGGATTCTTCCCAACCACCATCTATCCATATTACATTATTGTGGTAAAGCTTATAGATTCAAATCAAAAGATACAAACATGTTGCTTGTCTCAAAGAATCCTCAAAGGAATTCAGTTCGTACTTGCCGCTTTGAGCTATTCTTTTAACAGCCCTCCGACGCCGCTTCTCCTTCTTCTCCTGCAACTCCCTTAGCTCCCTTGGCTCCCAGCTTGCCATGGCAACGCGCTGGGAAGCTGTTGGCTGTTACCACCGATCTGATTGCGTTCAGCTGAGGGAGGGCAACTATTTCCCTGTCTACGTTGGACTGGTTAGACTGTTGGGCGTTGTGCTTTGAAGCTGAAGTGAATGGCACTCTGATGAGCTCAAGGTTGATTGACTTACTCCCACCAGGCCCAAAGCCAGAGTTTCTGATGGATTGGGATGGCAACTACCCAGTATCCTGGTGATTCACCAAGTTCCGAAATATAGTATGGTATCAACAAATAACAACTCAACTTGTTTGACCAGGTGTGGTCAAACCTGAACGTGCATGCGCGTTCTGCACTTGAACCACAGAAGTTGGAGACCACCAAGTCAGTCCTTTAGTCTTGGTCTCCACATGTCTCCACTACTAGTAACAAAGAGTGTTTTCCACTCTGGGTCAGAATGATGAAAACAAAAAACATACGAAAAGCAGCCAACCAGACATCGCTCAGCCACACGCGCTGCCGACGCTGCCTGAGGCACTACGTGCAAGAATCTTGCCCCGCCAGTTGCGATTCTCGCTGGGGACTTCGGCGTCCTCGGCCGGAAGGTGTTTGGACTGTGAAAGTAAGCCCTTGAGCAGAATGAGATGCTCCAATCAACCTGAAAGCTGCCGAATGCTAAAATCGTCGCAGACCTCCAAGAATACTTCAGCCCGGGAGAGCATCCTTGAGGGGGTACTGCTTGCGAGATAGGTGCTTGTGACAATGCTGGAGACGCTGGCGCGCCGGCGTTAGAAGCATTGTTTGTCGATATGTTTCTCAAGAACCTTTCGGCATGCAGCCCCTAAATATAGAAAGGGTGACTGCGAAACCTGCCAAATCTGTGGGAAGACTCAGGTCTTTTGTAATAATCCTTCAAAAATCCACAAAGATTCAAGCTCCCACTCCCAAAGCCCTCAGTTCCCAGCTGAAGGCAGTGACACTTGGTCTGAGCTCTGACTCCGATCGGCCTGCGTTCGTGACACGGTCGCTGGAGAAGCCGAGCACCGGGGTCCTGTAGTCGGATGGTCCAATATTCTATCCCCCATCACAAACATAAATTCGAAACCCCTGTGTCAACCTGCAAAAACCACCAGGAACTTTGGAGCAGCAAACTGAGTCCTCTGGAAATCAAACAGAACAGATTTATATATATATATATACATGCAGTGGTTTCGGAGTAGATGGCACAAACCCCAAGATGTCTTTTAGATCGGGTCCATGTAACCAATTTTTGGGGATTGTGCCATCTACTCGCATGTGAGTGTGAAACACGTGCATGTCTCCCTGACCTTCTAAGGTGCCGCCGTCCAACATCAAGATCACAAGCGGCTAGGTAGTATGCGTTTCTGGCAAGCTGTTGCCTTGCAGCTAAAGGAAGACGGTTTCCAGAAGAGCGGTGCTCGCCGCTTGAGGTGTGTGGGTGTGAGTCGGCTACGAAAGGGTCTCGTCCGCCCGAGGAAGCCTGTGACTCTTGTTGCTGGAGGTGCATTCGTTGCTGGCTTGACTGTAGGCGGAGGACTTGTTGTGCTGGTGAGGCTCCAATATCCCAGAAAGACGAATGAGCGGTCTCTTTGGCGACATGAGGCGGAGCTGGAGTCGTCTCGAGCGCTGACAGCTGGGAGTCGAAAACTTCTATGGTACGATGATGATGATGATGTGTGGCATGAAGCCATGGTCACCTAGTTGGGGGGGTACGAGGTCTTCTTTTTTTTAAATACCCCTGACGATGACATGTGTGTGGAGAGTTTGAAATGTGATGGAGTTGAGGGGCCAAGCAAAATGAGAAGACTGGTGCAGAACACTCGCCTTCCTCGCCGTTTGCCTGGACATGCCTATCGCATCCTATGGCCGCTTTTCGAATCCGATGACCTGAAGGCATCGCAAAGGACGCAAAGGACTGAAGGTGGTGGAGGAGACAAGAACGGGGCGAAGCTCTCTCCTCCTCCTGTCGTCCGAAACAAGTTCGGAGAACAACACACAGGAGAACACAGCTGCTACAGACCGCTGCTTGGGACGTAGAAAAACACAACAGCTGCAACAAGCAGCTGTGATTGCTACAGATGCTCTCTTTGGTGGAACCTTCCTGCCTCGGTGCCTGATGGCCAAAGGAGGCGATGAGACTGGACCAGGTGGATCTAGCCCCAGACTCTCCGAAGCATGCGAAAAAGGTAGAGGAAGCGGCAAATGACCATGTGTGGGTAGCTGCTGAACCTATTGGTGGCTTGAAGCTTGGTCAGGAGCCTCAAGGCCTCAACCGATGTGCAGGTTGGCAACAAGACAGCCTTGGCCTTGAGTCAAGACAGAGATGGTGAAAATCACGGAAGTGCCAGAGTATGCTGCCAAGAGGAGGGGGCTCTTTGCGAACACTCCCTCCAAGGACACCCTTCCAGCTGCACAAGTGGAGCTGGGTCTCAGGAAGCCGAGGAGAAGGAGCCTCATGGAGATGTGAGAACCCTTTGGGTGGACTTCGATGAGCATGCTTCGAGCGCTTTAAGAGATGGAGGGACGTGGTGAGAACGAGAGTTTCACGTCAACCTTTGATGAAAAGATCTTGAACCGACTTTCTACCGCACTCCACATCAAACACCGTCTCAGGCGACCCTCGTCTCTGGCTTCAGAATGTGGCAAGCTCTGACCGAGAGCAAACGAAAGAGACGATCTCACACATTCGAAGACAGCGAGGACGAGAGTGGCAGCACATCATCCGAGCGAAAAGCGGAAAGAGCTCAGATGCGGAAAGAAGCGAAGCGTCGTTGGGAGGCCAAAAGGCTTGTTGAAGGTGGTCGACCAAGTCATGGAGGGAACCAAAGAGACTCAAAGCCTTCTGGAGACCTTTGACCAAAAAGGTGAGAAAGCATTACGACAAGTATGCAGAGCTGGTAGGGCGTTCGTGTCTTCTACACCGCATTCCTTTTGTCAAGGAGGATGTCGACTATGCTCTGGTGAAGTTCTTCAACCTGAAATACCTGGAAGGAGAGGGAAGTCATTTTGGAGACACCACCATGGCAGCGCTGATGGACAAGCAGCCTCGCTTCGGCAGGGGGGATCGTCCAGTTCCGGTGGAGAAGCTTGAAGGGGTGGCACGAGCTGTGCCAATCTCGCTCGAGGCTTGCTGACCCATTTGCAGTGTGGTGTGGAATCAGCTAGAGGATGGTCGAAAGGAAGGATGATCAAGTATCAATGCCGCTGGCAGAACATGGGTAACATGGGTGTGTGCGTGTGCTCAAGAGAAGGAGACCTCCCACTTCGACCCCTTGGAACAAGGAAAACAAACCGCTCCATCTTTCTCTCGGGTCTCGGGGCTTCTCCCTATGTATCTAAACCATTCGAAAGAATTCCAAATACCCTAGAAGTCCAGTTCGACGATATTTTGACTGGCTGGAGTAAAGGAAGCTCCCGAACTCAGGTCCCCGTTCGTCAGACCATTCTTTCTAGAGTCGACTTGACTTTGAGGGAATGCCGAATGTCAGGGTTTCTGGAGTTGGAGTTGGTCGAGTCGCGGAGGTGCAGAAGTCGTTGCTCTGGGACATCGTTCGCCCTTAATGGGTGACCCCTAACCTTCACAAGTTCAAATCAAGAAGCTAAAGCGGATGACCTGCCAGTTGCCTGGTCAAAGTGGATTGATCATTGCTGAGGAGGCCACTTTGCACCGAATACAAGGCACCCAGAAGGTGTGGCTGTATTTGAAAGGTTTTCGCCCGGAGAAAGCCCTGGGTTTGTTGCCCCTAGATTCTAGATAGAATTCAGGAGGGTGGCATGAGAGAGCGCAAACGTGCAGGCAATCCCCTGGCCGATCCAGGATCGGACGCTCAAATTTTAACCCGGTAATCACGTTGACCGTGAGCAGCCTGCAACCTCGCGAAACCTAAAAACTGCAAGGCAGTACCATCCTGGCCTTCAACCGCAAGGATTTTTTTGACCTGGTTGTAGTCCAACATCCTTAGTAAAACAATGGTTGCTCGGGATTCAGGCTATTAAATCATATAAAATCTATAGTGGTTCGAATTCTAGGATGACTCTTCAACCTATCACCTGAGAGGCCTGAGACATGCCTGAGACAGATCAAAAATCGAAGCCTCCTGAGCTGGTGTGGCCTCAAAGACCCAAAAAAAACAGGCCGTTCGTCTTCCGTTCCTCTTCCGTTCGGTCGCACCTGTCCTTTCCGGCTCAAAAACCGCCGATCTCCCACGGGAAGCGCCTTGAGAATACCTCTCGGCTTCACAGGCAGTCGACGGTCCACTTCAGCCTGAGCAGAGCTCGCCAGCCGCGGCGTGGCAAAAAGAAAGGCCCGTGGCGGGGGTGCGAGAGCTTCAAGTCGAGAGCAGGCTAGTAACGTTTATAGGGGATATGAGAGCACAAGGAAAATCATATCGAAGTCCAAAAAGGGACTTGAGATGGAGAACTGATGGCCCAAAAATGTCCAAAATGTATCCATCCATCCCAGAATTGTCTCTGGAAGACCCTCCAGGAGTAGGGAGACTAGGCAGCCGGCAACTTGCACAGGGCCCTCCAGAACCAACCCACCTGGGCCCCAAAAGGATTCATGATACTTCATGATCACCTGATTGATGGTATCAGCTCACAAGGAAACCCTCTAGGAAACCCTTTATTACGCAGTGTTTCTTGGTGTTTCGTTTTCTCTAGGTCTCTCCTTTTCTCAGCAAATCCGAACAGCTCAACTCAACGAATGATATGTTCCTCAACCACAAAAAAAACAAAAAACATGTTCCTTGTGGAGGTTATTTATGTGATGTGTTTTTTCCTCACCATCGCTTCATCACGCCTTCTCCTTTTCCATGCTTTCAACCAGCTGCTGCGCTCGCAACCTGAACACGAAAAGCGCCGTGTTCCCGCGCCAGGAGTGCGTCTAGCGCCCTGGAATGACCCCGAGGACCAATTGGAACTTGGCAGATTAAAGTCTCTTCTTGCTTTTGCCGGAGCTTGAAACTGTACAAGCTGAATCATCTAATGGAGTGGTATAGGTGTCACCACTGGTATCCCACTGGAGGTGGATCATGCCATTCCCATGTGAGCGTGTATTGGAAGAGGGAGGCTTCAGACACATCCCCAAGAAAGTGAAAGATGCACTGGAACCCAGTGGGCCAGGGGTTTTCCGAAACCAGAAAGGAATATGAACTAGTCTGCATGGATGTGCATGTTCTGCCCCAAGTCGAAGCCGAAACTATGAGGCAAATGCCCATGTTTCTGGTTTGTCTGGTGAAAACACGTCCTGCCAAACTCTTTCCCCACCTCAGCACCTTCAAAAAAGGGGGTCTTCAACGCGCCTGAAGGTACAAGGGAACCCGCATGTCGAACTGTATGTCCTGGTTTTCACCTGGTGTTTGATTTCGCTTGCCAATCAGCTCACAATGGCACAAGGTCTGAAATAGTCATGAAACTGAAAAATGCCCCCTTGGCTTTGGATGACCATTTTTTAACAAGCAGGTGGTTTTCCACTTCCACGATTCAGTGACTGCTTCAGGTGAGCGGGATGATTTGTGGATCACGTGGTGATACGTTTGCTTCTAGTGTGTGGGCAGACCGTGCGGCGACACGACGCGCGTGATGTCGCAGTGCCATTGAGATTTGCGCAGCCTTGGTGGAAAGTGCGTTTGCAAGGCACTGTGCCGCTGGGGAGCGCGAAACAGGCTGGTGTACACGGTGTAAACGCGGCGTGTCGCTGGTGAGCGGGATGATTGGTGGTATCAAGAGTGTCCCAAAAGAGTGCCCCGCAAGAGCTTCCTACAAGAGTGACTCAGAAGAGTGTCCTACAAGAGTGTGCCACAAGAGTGTCCCACAAGAGTGTCCTACAAGAGTGTCTCACAAGAGTCTCCCACAAGAGTGTCCCAGATAGAGTGTCCCACAAGAGTGTCCCACAAGAATGTCCCGTATGAGTGTGCCACAAGTGTCCAACAAGAGTGTCCTACAAGAGTGTCCTACAAGAGTGTTCCACAGAGTGTCCTACAAGAGTGTCTCACAAGAGTGTCCCACAAGAGTGTC